ATTCTTGAAAAAAGAAAATGAGTGCTTAAAGAAAGATGATGAGAAATCTAAAACTTTGTCTAAAAATAAAAAAGTTGTTAACTCTTGTGAAAATTGTAATCTTTTGAAAAATGAGATTTTCAAGTTAGAGAAAATAATAAGCAATTTTTCAAAATCTTCTGAAAATCTTGATTCGATATTAGGTTATCAAAGAGGAAATTCTATCAAAGCTGGACTTGGTTACAAACCCAAAAAAGTCTAGAACCTCATAAAACTATTTTTGTGAAAGAGTCAAGGAAAACAGATGTGAAACCAATTTCAAAAACTTTAAGAAACACATTTAGACCTTTTCAAAGAAAACCAACATGTTTTTATTGCATGAAATTAGGTCATACATCAAATAGATGTTACATAAAACATTTTGGCATATCTAATGGCAAATATGAATGCGTGCCTAAAGGAACAAAGCATTTATCCATGTCTAGATGATAATTTGAGCATCTAATTGATTATCAAAATCGGATTTTTTTTTGTCATAATCAATTATGTTGACCAACTTTGAAATTTGAATTTTGAAAATTTGAATTTATGAAAATTTGAAATTATAAAGTTTGAAATCTTGTAATTTGAGATTCTTAAAATTTGAAATTTTGCAGTTTGAGATTTTTTAAAAATTTGCAGTATGAGAATTTTGAAATTTGAAATTTTGCAATTTGAGATTTTTGAAATTTGAAATTTTGTAATTTGAGATTTTGCAATTTGAAATTTTTACAATTTGAAATTTTGCGAGTTTGAGATTTTTTTTTCAATGAGATTTTTGAAATTTAAAATTTTGCAATTTGAGATTTTTGAAATTTGAAATTTTGTAGTTTGAGATTTTGAAATTTGAAATTTTTGCTTGAGATTTTTGAAATTGAATTTGAATTGGAATTTGAAATTTGAGATTAGAAATTTGAATTTGGAATTGGAATTTGAAATTTGAAATTTGTTACAATTTGAATTTAAAATTTGAAATCTGGAATATGAGTGCATTTGAATTTGAAAGTCTGTCTCTAAATAAGAAAACTGCAATGGAGGGAAACTTCTGCATTTAATTTCATTATCTCTCGTAATCATTTTATTCTCCTATCTTTCTCTCCTTCATTTGTATTGGATATCCTAGATATTATTTTCTTAATATAATATTCTTCCGACATTTTTTAATGCATTATCTTCTTTACCTTGATTTATATACTAATAGGCACAAATTTGTTCTCAATTTCTATTGCAATATTTTTCATAATTATCAATGAAACAGGAAGATATTTTGATGATATTAATCTGTGTGAAACAGGCGGAGATTTTTTTTCTCTTATAATATTTTTCATAATTATCAATGAAACATGGAAATAGTTTGATGATATTAATCTGTCTGAAACAGGGGTAGATTTTTTTCTTAAAATATTTTTTTTTTATTATCAATGAAACAGGAAGATATTTTGATGATATTAATCTGTATGAAACAAGGGAAGATTTTTTCTTATAATATTTTTTATGATTATCAATGAAACAAGGAGATTTTTTGATGAATTAAAATCTGTGTGAAATTCTTTCCTATCTAAATTAAACAAAGGGAGTTAAGAGAAGTATTTGCTCATATGAGTTAGGGGAGTCTTGTTATTAATATATTCAGGGGGAGATTAAGAGACTCTGACATACAAATCTATGTTAATCTTGAGTTGGCTATATAGAGTCAAACATTTTAATTCATTTTAGGTGTTTCATTGATCATCATCAAAAAGGAGAGATTGAAAGCAATGACGAGGAGATTGATGGAAATGTTCCTGCATTCCCAAGAGATGATTTTGATGATGATTCAAGTCAACTACATTCAAGTCAACACCATTCAAGATGAATTTAAGGACAAACTAAATTTATGACGTAGGTGACAATGTGAAACATTTCCCTACATGCCCAATATATGTTTTTGATAAAGATAATGATTCAAGCAAGTTCAAGATGATTCCTGAAGACTAGATAAAGTCTTAAAATACTGGATATGGAGGTACAAATTGATGAAGTAATATTATGCATAAGCCTCCAAAGCACAAATGTGATAAAATTCATAACATGATATTTTTCATGTCATAATTAATTATGATGCATCTGAAATGGAAAAATGATTTTCTCTATCATAAATAATTATACTGATAATATAATCAATTATGACAATTCAAATTTGAAAAATATATCTGTTTTAAAGAATAAATGTTTTTTAATACATCCCGATTTTCTCTATGATATTATTAATGTCCAACGGCCATTTTCTGATGCTATTTTTCTATTTAATTAAGTTTTGATGAAAAATCAAATGACACAATTACAGAATTCGAAAATACAATTTACATTCAATTAGTTTTGAGAAAAGAATTCTGAGCAAGGCAACAAAGATATTTTACACCTTTTGAGAAAACCCTCTTCTCTACTGTCTTCTGTGCTTTCATTGTTAATCACACTTGTTCTTGGAGATTGACATTCTACAGGCTTCTATAATTTGTTGTCTTCATTACTCAAGTGTGTCTGTTCTTATTTTTATTACCTTCATCCTTTTTGCATTGGCTGAAAATGAGGTGTTTTTCATCCCTAGTATGATTCTAGGGAGATGTTCATCTTTAGTGGGATTCTAAGGAGATGTTTTCATCCTTTGATTCGTTCAGATGAGGTGTTCATCCCTAGTGGGATTCTAGGGAGGTGTTCATCCTTAGTGGGTTTCTAAGGAGGTGATTGTTTTTTTAATTAGTTTACTTTTTACTAGTTCTTCTACTGAGTTGATTGTAATTTGTAAACTGAATTTGAAAGATAGTGAATGGGGAGTCACTCTAGTGTTAAGAGTTGACTGGGAACTGGATATAGGGTTGGCTATACCCGAACCAGTATAAATTACTGTGTACTATTCTCTTTCCCTTAACTCTTTCTCCTTTCCTGATTATATTATTGTTTCTGCTTTAACAAATTATTGACTCACAAATAAATTTTTAATTTGACATCTATTTTAATTTGTGCATCTATTCACCCCCTCTAGATGCCATTTGTCTAACAGCAGGATGTCAAGATAGTTTGAAATCCACTTCAGGTTACATTTTCATGTTAGCAGGTGGTGCGGTTTCTTGACGCAGTGTCAAGCAAACCCTTACAGCTTCATCCACTATGGCAGCAAAATTTGTAGCATGCTATGAGGCGTCGAATCATGGAATATGGCTGAGAAATTTTGTTATAGGGCTACAAATTGTGAAAGGCATTGAAATACCACTTAAGTTATATTGTGACAACAAATCAGCTGTATTGTATTCCAACAACAACAGAAGTTTGACTAAGTCAAAACACATCGACATTAAGTTCCTAGTTGTTAAGGAAAGAGTACAGAGTGGACAGATTTCCATAGAACATTTAGGGACAAACTCCACGATAACAGATCCTCTAACTAAAGGACTTCCGCCCAAGGTCTTTCATGAGCATGTTGCTCACATGGGTGTTTTACAGTTTGAGGAATTTGTGGTTTAGTGGGAGTTAGTCATTTTCATATATTTTATGTTCTATGTTTAATTTCATGTATGTATACATTGATTTTTTGGACATATTTGGTTATCTATAGATATGCGGTTTTTCGTTCATTCATTACACTTTGTACATTAAGGTTATTATATCGATCTCGATAAGTTAAAGTTTGGACCAGTTGAAAATAAACGTGTACAGATCACCTTTACGTAATTTTTCATGCTACACATTTCATGATGAATCCATGTCATTTGGTTATGTCAAGATGAGTAATCATTGTTGGTTTTAGTTGCAATGATGCAACGAAAAGCTGGTTTGGTTTTATATCTTGATATGATCAATGGACAGGACTTTTAGAATATGCTAAAGGAATATAATGGCAATTTTAAGCTCATAAAGTCTAACACATTTGTAAGGTTGTAAGGACATATATATTTGTGACCAGTGGGAGATTGTTGGCAAATTTTTGGTCATGTATATATATGATACATAATTTAAATGTGTTAGGGTCATTATTTATTAAGCCAAATAATAAAATTATCTAACTAAATTAAAGTTTTGGCTAAAGGCATATGTCATGAAAATAAAATTGTGTAGAGACCATAGAGTAATTTCTAATTTGATGAGGGGCCAAATTGGAAATACTAAAACTTAAGTAATTAACCTAATTCTGGTTATTTAAAGGGTCATGGTCCTCATCTGGGAGTACACACACAGAACGTAAGTATCTTTTCTTTCTATCCCCATCAAGAGAGAAAATCCAGAGAGAAATACAAGTGCTCTCCAGAAGGAAGACCATAAGATCAATATTGCTCTAAAAGGGACATCATCATTATGGCTAATTCAGGTACGCTTTCGCATTTAGCTTACAACATATTTACAGTATGGATTACTTTATATTTGATCGTTAGATTGAAGATCATATTTAATTATTAGTTTACCTATCAAAAGATTGAACAATGAAATAAAGAAATATATAGAAATTCTTCTAAGAAAAATTAAAACGATAGAAGGAAATGTAAAGAAAGAAATATATAAAAGTTCTCGTGACAAAGAATGAATTAAAGAAAAAAAAAACAATATATATATATATATATATATATATAGAGAGAGAGAGAGAGAGAGAGAGAGTCTTGTAAGAAAGAAAGAAAGTTTTGTAAGAAAGATATGTAAGAAAGAAAGAGCGAAATAAATATATAGAAATTCGTGTAAGAATGATTAAAGAATGATAGAAAGAAAATAATATATAAGAACTATTGTAAGATTAAAGAATGAAAGAAAGAAATATAAAGGATTAAATTAAAGAAATATATTTGGCACATGGAGCATCAACAGTACTCAGACATACACAAGGCCCGTCATTAAGTAAAAGTTGTTCACTTGTTCCTGTTGGTGGAATTTTTCTTAGATAATGAGTCTTGAAATTGCATTGTTATACAGGAAAAACATTCATAAATAAGCACGACACTCAAAGTAATCTTCAAATGTTAAAACATTGGATAGAAAGTCAAGAAACATATCCATACCACAGTACTCCTATTGGCTTCATCCATTAATGCTGCACCAGCAAGCATTTCTCTGATGTCAATGCTCTGAATCAAGAGACATTACAATTGAATATAAAACATCAAGTAAAATAGCAATGAATAATTGTTCAGGGCCAATTACCTGAAGGGCTGCTGGAAGCAGGCCAACCGCAGACATCTCTGATGTTCTACCTCCCACCCAGTCAAACATGGGAAATCTAGCTAACCAGCCCTCAATTCTTGCAGCGTTATCCAACAAAGAATTTTCTTGTGTTATAGCAACACCCTGCATTATATACCATGCACCGACAAATGAAAATGAGTGTTCAGCTCACAAACTGACAACAGATGTACACGTGTAGGGCCCATGTCATTAAGAAATTCATAACAACGCAAACAAAAGCACATTGCTGATACCTAAAATTGTGATAGATAAATACTCAAAAAAATAATATTATATTAAGTTAATATAGAAAGAGATTCAATAATTCAAAGACTTAGAGCATGTTGGAATTACGTTTGCACATACATAAAACATTTGTTCACTTCAATCCACCTAGAGACAAGCTTTTCCATTTGCACACTATTAACCTCACTATTTCATCAGAGAGTGGAAAAAGAAACTTAAAATAACGGAAGAAGCTCAGTTATTCGTAGACAAGGCAAGAAAATGTGTGAAAATAGAGGGCATAGCAGTTACCTAAAATACTATCCTAATAGACACACCATCATTCAACAATAAAAGGAAATTCTTAAGAAAACTAAAACCTGAGATTAAACCTGTTTTGGGAAATTCAATCCAGCTTCACGAAAGGCTTTCTGCACTTCTAACAAGCCATTCCTAGTCTCTGGGGTACCTCCACTCTGAAGATAAATCAAAACTCATAATTCAACGACATACAATAATAAATCCCACCAACAACATATTCAAACCAAAAGAACATAATCTTCATGCACACCTTCGAAATTACTACCACAAGTGTCGAAGCTAGCTCAGGCCCAAGTTGTGCAATCTGATGATCAATTCCAGCAGGATCCGTGTTGTCAATAAATCTTATCTGCCAAAAGTCCAAAACATCAATTTTACCCCATAACAATGTGTTTGAGATTGTCTCATTCACATTCCTCAGAACAAAACTTAAAAGATTGTTTGATTTTATAAAAAAAAATTCTATTTTCTATTTTAGTTTGTACAGGGTAAGAGGAAACATACATGAGTATAATGTAAAAGCATTGTTGACCAATCAAAATTCATCATTGGTATGACTTTTAATGCAGTCATTGTATTGGTAAAAGTTAACAAACTTATCATACATGCCAGTCTATGATTAGATGACAATGTAAAAACTCTTTATATTGTCACGCCAAACACTATTTATTCATATACTATTTCTAATATAGACTTTTGAAAATAAGGTGTACAATTTGCAAAAAATTGAAGTTTCCAGGCGGTAGACTTTAAATGTCAACCTCTATTAAACAAATACGGAGTTCAAACTCAATTATACGAAAAGAATAACTCCTCAACTATTGCAACTTATTTTTTTACTAGACCTTACATTTATCACTGATAGAACTCCAAGTATGAATCAGTAATTTAAATGCTCTCGGGGATTGTATTACCTTGAGTGGAGGATTATCCGGAGCCAGCGCCTCCGCCACAAACTGTGGTCCAAGTGCAGAGCCTCCGATACCAACCGAAAGTATCTGCGTAAACCTCCCCTCGGGCGACGACGGCGGCTTAATCTGCCAAAACACAAACCACCACACCTCAATAGCTAAACAACCACAGGACACGCAACTAATTTGAAACGCAACTAACCACAATCCGCGACATTGAACTAACCTTACCGCTGACGACGTCGTTCGCGAAGCTGCAAATGGATTCGAGCGTTTTATCAATCTGCGTTTTGAGGAAGGAGTTGGGTGCGCGCGAGGAGTCCCTGAGCCAGTAGTGACCGACCATGCGCCCCTCGTCGGGGTTCGCGATAGCGCCCTTCTCGAGGTCCTCCATGGCGCGCAACGCCGCCAGGAAGCGAGGCTCCATTTCATGGACGAACTCGTCGGTGAACCCGACCCGGCTCACGTCCAGGTAGAGACCGAGCTCCTTGTGCTGGTAGAGCCACTCCACGTAGCGGTGCCATAGGGCGCTTGGGTCCTTCTCGAGTCCCGCGTGGTGCGGTTTTGTTATCTCAGAGAGTTGTGCGGGAGCCTCTCGAGCGAGGGAGCGAGGGGGGAAGGGTTTGGGGCGGCAGGGGAATGAGGGGAGAAGGGTGCGGCGTCGTTTTTGGGTGGAGTGATTTTGGTGGTTGAGAGTTGGGGAGGATGAACAAATGCCTGAGATTGACGCCATGGGAAATGAAGGGTTTGTTTGTTAGTTAGTTAGTTAGTTGGGCTTTGGGCATTTTTGTTTACTCAGGAATTTGGTTATCAAGTGTTGTTGTGGGTTTGAAGTGAAGTGAAGAAGAGGAAGGAGTAGCTTTGTGTGATTGTTGGTGACTTGGTGTGCTGACTCGGATTTTGAGCGTAGCATTGGGTTTTGATTGGTTGAATGGAATAATTATCTCCTGTTTATCAAAATAGGGTTCAATCCCACTCACTATTACATTCATACCATACTTTATTCTCTTCTTTAATTGCTCGTTTTAATTTTTACGTTACGTTGAATTTATGAATATATTAAATCATAATCATCTAATTAAAGATTAAGTGAAGTTATTAACATCTCCAAACTAGACACTAGAAATATCATAATAATTACTTAGATTTTAAACTAATAATAACCGTTATTAAAATAAATTATCAATATAAAATTTTATATTTTCACCTTTTAATATGTAATTTGGACTCCTCAAAAAACCTACACTACTCTTCGTAACATAACGTATAATAACATAATTATATTGTTATTATTTAATATTTAACTTGAATAAGAAATATTAATATGAATAATAGTTATTAAATAGAGCAACATAAAAAAATGACCTAATGAACCGAATAAGTCGTAATTGATTGTTTTCTTGAAAATAATATCGCATGTCACGTCAATACGCTAGAACCTTACGATTTTTGTCGTCAAATTGTGAATTGTATGTTACACATTTGCTTGCAAGAGAATAGATCTGTTTTTCTGGAAAGAAATGTATATTTATTTTGTTTGCACCAACCCTCCAATTATAATTTAGAAGAGGATTGATCGTGATGGATTCTTTTAACACACATGTTTCTAATGATTTTTTTTTTCTAAAATACTTTTAGCAGTAATTATATAAATCTACGAATGTAATTTATTACATAAAAAATAGACTCCTAAAATTTTTAGATAAAATATAATTTTGATTCTTTATCTTTTTATTTTTTTTATTTTTTTTCAAATAATTTCAGTTTTTTATTTTTTAAATGCTAGTACATACTGGCTGTAAAAAATAAATTTGAGTTCATGTTTTGAAATATTTATTTTACTTATTCAAGACATAAATTTTATTTCATTAAATTATATCTATTTATATAAAAACTATGATAAATAATGAAATAACAAATATAACAAAAATCGTATGAAAAATTATCATTAAGACGTGTTTGATTTAATTTTATTTTTTATTTTTTAAAATTTATTTTAACCATCATTTTAAAAACTTGTTTTTGGACTAAATTTAAATTAAAATGATATTTTTATTTAGATCATGTATAGGAAATATTCACGATAAAACTTAAAAGATGATTTTGACAACTTATTATTATTATTATTAATATATGCAAAACAATATTAGTATAAATATAAATAAAATTTGAAAATATATTATATTTATTTTGTTTTTTAATTTAAAAAAAGGATTTATAAATTAATAACTGAAAAAATATAAAATAAAAATTATATCAAAATGTAAAGAAAAAAATATTAATACGTTGATTTATCTCTCAATTGAAAAAAAAATTAGTGAAACTGCTTCACGTTATTTTTAGTTTATTTTTATTTTAGGATATTTCTTAAAATTTTCAAGATAGAAATTGGTGTGTAATTAGTAATTGTGAATCTAGAATATTCGCGTGTGCGAATGTTTGGCAATTGCGTTTTTATCCGCAGGAGAATAGCGGCATAAATGAGACATACGCGGCACGTCGAGGCACAGAGAGACAAAGAAAAGAGGTTCTGAAGTCAATTATTTGCCCATTATCTCTTCGTTTCTCTCAACTCCTTTCTTCGCACTCACAAACTCAACGGCATGATGTGGGAATGGGACGATTGCGAAAACAATAACCCCAAATCTGACCAACCCGAACCCGATTCTCATCTCAACTTCGATTTCTTCTCCGCCCTCTCCAAACCCAAGGTGATGATGATGCACTCACTGATATGAATTTTGAAACCTTGTTTTATGATTAGGGGTTGTTTGTGTAACAGCGAATTGTATTGTGTTGTGTTTTGGGGCAGGATTATTACAAGATACTGGAAGTGGATTATGATGCTACGGATGATGATATTCGCTCCAATTACATTCGTCTCGCTCTGGTGTGTTATGTTGTATTGTAAGCATTTTCCTTTTGTTGGGGTTTCCGATTTGAGCTAATGTGGGTATCGTTGTGCGCGCAGAAGTGGCACCCGGACAAGCAGAAAGACCAGGATTCTACTACCTCGCGATTCCAGGACATAAACGAGGCCTACCAGGGTATGTATGTATTTATGTATTTATGTAAGTACGTGTGTATGATATATAAAAATTAATTTCTAGAAGTTTAATTTCAGCCCTTTTAAAAACAATGTTTTTTCATTTATGTATAAGCTAGTTTTAACTTTACATTTTTCTTCACCTAGAAGTTTCATTTTTCTCACCTACAAGGGTTTATGAAGAAGTTTATCTAAACAGTTCTGTTGTCTCTTTTTCCATACTACTTCTATTTCCCCGTGCTAGTAATGCTTTGGAAACTGTTTTTATTTGTTAAATTCGTGTCTAATGCTGGTGTACATTAATGTGTTGAGCTGGAAGTGCTGCGCAAATGGGATGCTAGTACTTGGCGAGGGAATGGAATAGTCAATTGTTTGGCAGTAAAGTGTAATAATGTCTGTGTTGATTTCTTTTTTCAGAGAGTTTAGAAAGCCAAAGGATGAAAAAGCTTGAGCAACCTTACATATGTTAAAATTTATTTGAACAAGCATAAGAACGGTGCTGCTTGTGATTCTGACTGTTGGGTTCTGAAGTGCCACTAGGAGAATTAGCATTGTAGTGGATGAAAAGTCGCTCAAGAGAGGATAATATTAGAAATGAATGAGTGTATCCTATAGAAGGTTGGAGTGTGCACCTATTGAAGAATAGATGACTAAATCTTGCCTGTGGTGGTTTGACTTTAATCTAAATGGTGTTTCGGAAAACTTCATTTTTGTCATAACATGACGGTATTTGACTATCCTTGTTGCTATAGAGGAATAGACGAGTCAAGCTGAGCTAAAGAAGCTCAAGCTTGACATGCTTAAGATGTTAGTCTAGCTTGGCTTATTCGTTTAAACAAGTCAAATGTAAATCTTGAGTTTCATTGATATGTTAGTAAGTAGTTGAGTTTGTTCAAGGATTTCTTCAAATGGTTTACAAATAGTCAACTCCATCACACCCCTATCATGTGTAGCCAACTCCACCCATATTAGAACTGCCCTTTTCCTTTTGGTTAATGAGCACCTTGGTCTTCTTGCTTTTGCTGTCAAATAATTGCATTTCCTACATCTCAGGTTCAAGAGATTGAACAGTTTGGTTTTTACATTATTGTTTTATCATTTTTCTTTTTTCCCCATTTTGCATCCTTTGGTTCATAATAATCCTGATGCTGTTATAATATCTAGCCTTATAGAAGATTCGTAATCATGCTTACAACTTGAATGGTTAATTTTATTGAGTTTGTTTTCTGTGTGTTATAACCTTAAATCTATGTATCCTTAATTAAAATTAAGAGGGAAGGTTCCCAAACCTGGCTCCAATTTCATCTTATCTCCCCTAATTTGCTCAGATAGATTCCAATAAGCTTGTTTTGGAAACTTCCTCCTTTTTTAACCTGAAAGCATACTACTTTGAAGTTTGAAGCTTATGAATATATTTGCAATGTCCTCTACTACTTGATTATTTCCGCATCCAGATTTGATATAGATAATTTTTATATGATGTGAGGGCGATGATGATTCAAATCCTAGAAATTCACTTGTCAGGTCCAGGCTGCATATATGTATCCTCTCCAAACCGCATTTGGTGGGAGTCTCATGCAATGAGCCACCCTTCTAAATTTTTCTATAATGTGTTCTTTTGGCTTGTTATTAGGGATGCTTGTTAAATTAAAAATTGATAACATAACTAGTGGATTTTTTAATTTGTAGGGAGTTGGGATCATGGGAGCTTTACCCATTCTTACATATATGTTCCCGTACCAACCTGGTCAATGCTTGTAGTCTAATTGATGTCTCAGAAGATAGATAATGGTTGAGACAGTAGATGGTGAACGGTCTAGATTAGCGGTTCAATGAATATGATGTTGCTATTGTAGTCTAATTCCCCTCCTAAGGGTACTGTTGGAATTCGTATTTAAACTTAACGATATCTTAATACTCTGCTGATTCCACTTCTCTATTATCTGCGTACCTTTATTTTCTATTAGCTGAGTGGATGGGAGTGTACGAGTTCTGTCGAGTCATAATTTAACACCTCTTCGGCTTTATTGTACAGTTTTGAGTGATCCAGTTAAAAGGAGGGAATATGACATAAACGGGATGCGTTTCGAATATGATTACAACATCGTTGTAAGCAATATTTGTCTTCGTCAGACAGGAATTGTGTTTTAAAAGAATGTTTTATTTACAAAAAAATGACTCTTTATGTTTTGTTTGACATTTTTTTGTGTAGGATTATCTTAATCGTTACAAGGGCCTTATCTTGACGTGCAATGGCCTAGGCATAAAGCAATCGATATGGTAAACAACACCGACATCACAGACATCCTTCCAGTGCATCTGGGACAATTTTTTTGAAGTACCTGGCACTGCATGCCATGCTTAGTAATGAAGATATCTGATTATGATGTCCTAGAGAGAGTTTCATGTGTTTTGTATAAAAAAAAGGGACAAAGTGGAACTTCTACCTCTTGTAATTTGGAATCTCACGCCAACCTTGCCTTATTTCAGATTTGTGTTTATGTCATCTCACCGATGATGATAAAAGCCATGTAAAAGAAGTTCAAAATGCATAAATTGAACTGAATTCTAAAAATGGTTCCATCAAACTAAAATGAACTGCATAGTTGTGTAGGCGAACTGATAAGTTCGGGTGTGTTGAACTGTTTTTTAATGGACATATCATTTTAAAAGTATACTTTTTGTGTTTTAAAATTTCACAGGTAATAGTTTAACTTAATTCAATTTTGCAGTAGTTCAGTTGTTACAATCTAAAGTATGAGTGCAGTGCAATTTAGTCTTTTTATACTGTTTGGTTCAGTTCAGATTTCGTAACAATCCTGCTTATTTTGCTATTTATTTGTTTCCTGTGTATTGACTGAAAGAAAATAAGAAAAATGAAATTTATTTCATTCGATTTGAAGAGAAAAAGAATATAAAAGAAAACTTTCATCTTTTAAAAAATAATTCTTAAAGCATCTCTTCAAGTTAATTTTTCAATTTTTATAGTCTCGAGTTCCTCATACTCATTTAAAAGTGAGAATACAGAAAGTTAGGTTCACAACAAATTTCTCACACAAAAATCATATATATTTAAAAAAATAATGATTAATAATTAATATCTGAGCTTATAAATAAATGTTTGCTCCATACATAACACAGTTAAACACTAATTTAAAACAAATATCCATTGTAATATAATGTCCTAATAATTTTACACAATTGATCGTGAAAAGAAGTGAAAGCCAAAAAGAGCATGTGAAGTGTGTAAGAATATAAAAGGAGATAAGAGTGTTTTAATATATATATATATATATATATATATATATATATATATATATATATATATATATATATATATATATATATATATATAAAAAATTAGAAACAAAAGACAGAGTTTACATAAAAAAAAAAAAAAAAAATGGGTATGTGAATAGTAAAGGCTTAGAAAATAAGTTGAAATTTTCTACACTTCAAAAATAAAAACTTTAAGTTCAATCTCCTTTTGAGAAAACTTATAAATGTAATATTGTTACAATCCACATCATCCTTTCTAAATAAAAGAAGGAGTAACTCATTTCTTTTTTAAGTACACAAAAACAACACAGTCATGTTGTTGGATAAACCCATGTTCATATTATCATGGATTGATATTGAATTCTATTTTTGTTGTAATTGTTTCTATAATGGGACATTAGAGTTTCTTTTGTGTAATAGTAATTAATAACTGTGCACTTGCTTCCAGCCACAATCTGATACAGCACATACCTACAACATACATGTACATATAACAATTTGCGACAAAAAATATGGATTTGTTTACATCTAACTCATCCATGTTCATCATCATTAGAAAATACATTTTAGATTTGAGATTCCTTTTTATGAACCTTTCTGGCTCTCATGCCCGTTCGGCAAATCAGACAATTATAAACGGATATACTGATTTATATTATCACTCATCAATTTTGTTCACAATTCATTTTTATTAAAAAAATGAAAGAAGTCATAATCACTTGTAAATCCTCTTAATATTTAACCCACGACTTATACTTTATTTATAATGTCAAATAATAACGATACCAAATAGCCTTAATTATTATTATATTTGAATTTTTCCTTTTATTTTTTTTTCTTACAGTTTTGGTATTCCTAATTTTATTTTTTTTTTCGGAATTTTCCTTGTTGACCCTTAATGCTGAGGTTACATGTATATAAACATTGTACATCAATAACTAGGATGAAATGACATATGACATTTTATGTGTAGATATGAGTGTGATATCAGAAAGTACAAAACTAATATAAAAAAAATTGATTAACAACTAGTAAAATAAATTGATTTTTTGTTTTGGAGAATGAAAATTAAATTCAATCGAATTTCATGAACCAGAAAATCATACCATATCCTAATAATTATATATAATATTGCATGTCACCAATTTGAAAAAACCGAATTTTGTTTCATAGAGAAACTAGTGTAAACGATGGTTTAGAAATCATAATAAATTTAAAAAACATTGGGAGGGAGTGTATAAAGTGAGAAAGAAGAAGGTGTAAATAGTAATCCGGTTTAAAAATTTGTTTCTGATTCATCATGTGTAAGCCCAAAGGAATTATTTGCCTGAATTGACGCTGTGTTCTTACATAGAGCGAATGAATTGATAACCTTTTTATTTTATTTTATAAATAACGTTTCTAAAAATATTAATTTGAAATTACTATATACTGGTTTAAATCCGGTGGCCAAAGTAAACTCTTAAATTCCTAAAGGCACAAAATATACTTCTAAATTTGTTGAGATATTAAATATGTGAAAAAACAATAAGACGTAGAATATGTTTAAAGGAAGTTTTTAATCAATTACTTAAAAATAAAATTAAATATTTTATTAGAATTTGGTAAGAATTACTTGTATAAATAACTTTTTTTAATTTTAAACCATTTTTTTATTTTTAAAGAACTCTGAAAAAAAGAGTGACGGTGCATTAAAGTAACGGTAGAAGTTGAATTAATTGAAGTTTAATTTTGTGCATGATTAAGACTTTATTATTGCAACTCACAACTACATGGACATGACTGTTTGAGAGACGCAGCATGCAGCAGGTGAAGAGGATCCCACTCCATGTGAGAGAAAACTATTTTCTCCATCCATAGGGTTTGTTGTGTGACCGGAGACACAGAAGATTGGACGGATGTTGCAGCTGCTTCTCATTTTCACACCATTTTTTTCCTTCCATTATTGCATACGCCAACATCATCAATCAAACAAAACTCTCTTATTTTATTCATTTCTGGTAGACCCTCTCTTAGATCACAATAATGGGGTAGTGAATCTCAAGAACTTCATCCACTGGATACAACTCATTCTCTTACCTCCCAACCTCTCTCACCCATATACCAATAACTCTCGTGTCATCACCTAATTCATAACAATTGTATATGTAACACATGCACCCAACTCCAGTTTAGTTGTTTTTCTTTTGGAATGTGACAAGTTTATTAATTTTTGATACCCATGTGAGGAAGAAACGTGGTTATGTTATGTAAGCCAAGTACCCGATGAACACTCGTATATTTTGACACACATGATAAGGTGGGGCAACCACGCATGCACCAGAAATATATACTAAAACCATCTACATCGACACACACCATTTATGTCCATATCCATGATAAATAAATCCGATTCAATATGGTTGGTTTGAATCAATTCTCATTACTTAACAGTAGTAATTAATTTGAGTTCTTTTAAGTTTTGACGTTTTGAAGTATTAATTATGAGAATTATCCGAAAAGCATTTGACTAAACCTCGGGTATGTAGGAGAAGATAACGGAAATCTAAGAGAGAAAAGTGATGATGGTTTGAATACATTCTGTTAAGCTCGAATCTCAAACAACCAAGTAACCTCACTCGTGTCTAAGTGTCTTAAGATTTGTTGATAAAATAAGTGTATACTGACACGAAGCATATATGGGATAAGTGTGTTTTATTAGTTGGCCATGAGCATTTGAGGAAAATTGTGAAAGCAAAAAAAAGGTGAATTTCAAAGATTTGAGTACAAAAAGGGTTAGAAATCTGTGTCCTAAAGTCTCTTTCGGACATATATGTTTGAGCATGTCTATTGTTGCTTATTGAATCCAAGAAACTGAGTATCCTAAGTGGAACTGAGATAAGAAGGGTTTTTTTTTTTTCTGTGGTCCAATTCAATTTCTATGTTTACCATTCATTTGTTCATTATGGGTCATTCAAAATGATGATATGTGGTCAAAGGGCTACAAAACAAGGGATCTTGGGTAACTATTGGTCGAAGTTTGAGGCACTGTCACCTTGCTTATTAATTGGTCATATAAGATTGAGTGATTCACTATATAAGGTTTGTAATATGTCATAAGCCATAACTTCTTTCTTTAACATTCTACAAAGAAAAAAATAGTTCAAATATACGTAATTAATTTGATTGTTGCCTCGTATTTCTGTACATTGTTTAATGATATATGTACTAGTTGGTCACAAAAATTGTTTCATGGTAAAGATTGAAATCTAAGATGAGATATTGCTTGCCCTATAAGGGAAAATAAAAATATATTACTTTGCCTGCAAGCCATTATCAAAGAATGTATATGAAAATCTCTCTTTATGACAGAAAAAAAAAATGATGAAAAACTACTGGGAGAGGCATTGTCGAGGAGCATCTGAGTGAATGATATAAAACCAAAAACAGGTTCGATAAGGATTGGACCAACTTTGTGAACAAAATCAATTTGATCTCAGTCGACAAATCTTCCACAAATTTCGATGTTTTTAAAGCCCCCACCACCCCCTATAAACAAATAATAATTTAAAAAAAAAAAAAAAAAAAAAACAGAAAATAAAAGAGTCACTACTCTTTCACCAAGGAAAAAGAACCAACGTTCCTTTCAGTGTGCAAAATTTAATGTTACACGAAATTGACTATTCATGGTTGATTTTAAATAGATGTTGTGTGCCTCTAACAAAGTAGTTTATGTTATTTAACTTCTTGTGATAAAGTTACTTTTGACTATGTTTGGTCCAAATTTAAGAAAATAAAAAATGCACTACTCCTCAGAAGTTAGAAGTTAACATTGAAAGCAAATATTAGAGTATGATAAATATTAATCTTTTGATTAATAAATAGAATGTGATTTCTTTAATTAAGAAAAAAAAAAGGTAATAAAGTGTAGTTTTAATGACAGAGAAAACATACTAACTAGTAATTGGCCGTTATTAGGATAGGGTCCTACTTAAGGTTGTCAATGTTTAATGTCAACATAAATTT